TCAGCGCCCTTGCACGCCCTATCCGCTCACGCTCGCGCGTGCATCCCAACTACTTAGTGTCACGCCCACGCCCGCTCAGCGCGAAGCTTGCATGTTCAGTGCCTCATCATGCCCCGTCAGCCCTTGCCCGGAGTGCGTGCCCCCTGGTGTTGGATTGTAGCCTACTCTATTCCTTTTAAGGAAATTACTTCTTTTTTATTTTCCTTAATTTCATGTTGATTAGAGGAAGGAATAATTTTCCCTTGCTTGGGTAGCAAGTTGGTGGATTTTTAGGAAATATCTTAATTTAGATTTTTCCTTAGTTTATTTTATTTTTTATCAATATTAGTTTAAGGAAAGTACTGAATCTAAGCCTATTGTTGAGGTAGAATGTGATAAAATTTAGAAATACATAGTTTGTGACCTACTGCCAATGCATGCTGATAGTGTTTTATTTAGTAGGCAACTAGATTGCAATGAATTGTTTGATTCTAACACTTCTACTATTGTAACACCTACACCTCAAGAAGCATATGATGTTGTGTGTGAGTTAGGGAAAAAGGCGCATGAGGTCAAGATAAAAGCATGTGAATTGTTTGAAAATGAATCTTGTGTGAGAGAAAAGCATGAGATTAGTCTATGGCCTAAAGAGAAAAATGAGAGAAAAGCTAAGAATGTAAGCTTGTTTGAAAAAGTTTGTGATGTCAACTATGTTTTATTTTCAAAACAAAACATTCTTGATCTTTTGTACAAAGGCACTTGTTATCTAACGGGAGACCATAAACCATGTTGGTCTAATGTTTCCCTTGAGTTTTTACAGGAGGCTAGAACACTCATTGAGAAGATTGAACCAAAGATTGCTTTCAAAGTACACCATGGCAGTCAACATGTGGTTTACAAGGCTGAAGCATCTCGTGAGAAGCAAAAGTCCAAATTTGTTTCTAAATTCATTCATGGCAAGAAACATACAATGTTCAAACCGGCTGATTGGGTTTGGAGATCTTATTGGAATGATCGATTTTCTAATGGAAAGAAGTGGAATAGGAACCCATGTAGAGATATACATTTGACTTTTGATGATTTTAAGAGTGCTCTACACGGCGAGTTTGATGAAGATTACATATTCAATACTGCTGATTTCTGACCATTTTATGTAGGAGATCCTTTTGATTCGAGGACGAATCCTTTTGAAGAAATGGAGGATGATATGAACCAAAGTATCTTAGTGCTCAAGGATTTAAAGGAAGATGTTGGAGAATCCTATGTCCAAGTTGACAACAAATCGGAGTTGCATTAAATGCACTCTAGTTTCATTTATGGCCAACTCAAGTTGCATTCATGGAAGTCAAAGTTGAACTCAAGATGCATTCATAGAAGTCAAAGTTGAACTCGAGTTGCATTCAATGAACTTAAGTGCATCTCAAGCTTCATTTATTGCAAGTCATACATCAATTAATGGAACTACACTTCAAACTACTTCAAGTGAAGCTTCATTTACAATTGGGAGGTTACAAAGACTTTGAAGGGTGACCAAGACTTCAATTCTCGGATTTTAATCTCTTTTTATTATATTTTCAGTTTTAAACATTTCATTTATGTGTTTTAAGTTACATTTTAGCTAGTGGATGTTATGGCCATCATGTAATTGAGAGTTACAACCTATCAAATGCCTTTAGGTTACTTTTAGGGTTGGTTTGGAGGCTATAAATAGCCTAGTTTGTTTCCTTTGAAATACAGATTTTTGATGTTGAATGAAAGTTGTTATTTAGCTTCAAAAGCCTAGAGCTTGTTTTTCTTTGCAATTCATGGGTGTTAGATTTGCATGCTAGAATCATTCAAGTAGCCTTGATCAAGCTATCTTGTGGAGTGGTTCGAATCTTGAGTTTAGAAACAAGCTTTCTCTACTCTTGATATTGATCATCAAGGTAAATCCGTCCTAACTTCTTCCTTGGGTTGACATCATCTCGATTTGGGGGTTTTAGCATTTGTGATCTAGGGGTTTGCATTACCATAAGGGTTCTTAGATCCAATTGGCTATTGTTTTCATATCAGTGGGGCCCCTTGGTCAAGTCCCAGAGTCAGCATTTAAGAGAACACCCATCTACTCCCCTAAAGTCGGGGAGGAGTGAATTCCATCTTGTGAAGTTATGTTCCCAACTTCCCACTCGGTGTCGTCCCCAAAATGGTAGGAATATTGAGTCGGCAACTCGGGCCACTCTCACCCATACAGATCAAAGGACGAGCCCTCACGGGCAGAAGTCTATAACTCACTCAGGATTGAGAATAAGTTGTTTGGTCATCCTATGAAATAGCAATCTATTAGTCAACAGCGTTACATCTAAAGATTGTCTAGTTCGCAGTCCAGTCTTATACAAACTTATTGTATAGGATACTCCCACTCGTATGTCTCCACACGAACGACTTGGATCGTATCCATAGTGGGCGGTATCCATAGTGTTGTCAGGATAAGGTACCCAGCCTTATTCATATACTATAGACCCTTTAGGTTATTCACGGGACATTATCCACTCGTATATCAGGGGTATATCAAATATATACCTCGTATATTAGAGGTATATTAAGTATATACCAGATAATAACCTTGGATGTTTAGTTTATTGGATTTTGGACAATGCAATGCTTTTAATTCAACAATAAACTTATTGAATATAAATTTATTTTTACATAATACAAACTACGAATTTAGGGCACACACGCAATGCAGAGAAGGTAATTTGGCAGGATGATAGCAAATGGTTAGAAAACATAAGTTTTGAAGATGGGGATATATATCAAAGTGGGCTTGTAAAAATGGTTAATCACCCAAAAAAAATTCCAACAATTTTACAATTGTAACTTAATTAAAATAACGATTTTCCTTTCCATCAATTATGCCACATAAAATGCAAACATAGTCCGACACATAACAACCTCGTAAAAGAAATCCATGAACAAAAGAATTATTTACGACTCCAAACATCCGCACTCTTCATTGTTAGAAACGAATAGCAGTTCAGTTTTGTCCGTTGTTACTGGGATGGGCTGTAAACAACGACCGGGCTTCTGACAACATGGCCGACAGTTTTCCAAGTCAGCCATCCAGACACCATTTTCGCCGGTGGCAACGGACTTGCCTTCACAATGACCTTGAACGTGCGTTTCTGCAGAAGCTGCGTGAATGAGAGAGTGGTCGGAGCCACCGTGACCTCCACCCCTTGGGGAGCCACGACAGTTGCGTTGTAGAAGGAGACGGCACGACCAACGTTGGTGACTTGGCGCTGGAACACAGCCACGGTAGGGCGTCGAGTTCCTCGAACACTGAGTTGAATCGTTGGGTAGTTGAGCGAGTCGTGGCCGAGTCCTCGCGTTAGGGAGGGGCAATTTATGGGATTGGATCCGGCGAGAACGGCGATTGAAGATGCAGTATAGCCTTCGCTGCAGAGGAACTTGATATACGAAATCTCGTGGTCGTCGTAGACTAGGCCTGGATTTTTTGCCCTCGATGGATTTATGTTTCCAGCGCCGTACGCAAATTCCCCTTCCGCGTTCATTCGCCGGTTGATAGGTCTCGCTTCATAATGGAAATGGAACACATTTATTATCTGTCTTTATTTTCTGTTATGGTGTAAAATTGGAATTCATGGTTTTCTTTTATTATTACATATGGATTTGTAATTTTTGCGCGATTTAGCTTGAATTATTTATCATATTTTGTAGTTGATCTCTTTCTTTATATTTTTGTCTTAGAAGATTTTATTTTTATTTCTAAGTTTTCTATTCACTCGGAGTTGCGCTATGAGTCAATAATGAACCAATATTGACAAAATGGAAGTTTAAAGTGCATATAGTAAAATAAATCTAAAACTTCACGATCAAAATAAAAATAAAAATAAGTACTAGAAAAATTGCAGTGGGTAACATATTTTTTTTGTATGTATTTCGAAATATGTCCCATATTTTTAAAATTTTCAAATATATCAATAATTTTCACTAGTATATCAATGGTATATCAAATACTTATATCAGTAGTATATCAGACACTTATATCAGTAGTATATCAGACACTTATATCAATAGTATATTAATATCATATATATATTGCACAAACACTCATATTAGTAGTATATCAGATATATATCACATACATATTTTAAGTATATCATAACTCATATCAGTAGTATTTCAGATGTATATCACATACATATATCAGTAGTCAGATATATTATAGACATATTGTAGATATATCACAGATACATATCATTTGGATAAAGTTGTCATTTTAAAATTAGACATCGATTTTTTTTAAAARTGCTATATATTTGAAAAAACTAAGTGTGATTGCTATTTTGCTAATTTTACTAAATGTTTTTTACATATTTGCAACTGTCTTAAGTATTACACCTGTTATAAAGTTAGTTTATTTTTTTCATATATATCTAATAGTTAATATTATGAAATATTGGTTAAATAAAAAAATTAATCCAATAAAAATGTATTATTTCTTGTTTTTTCTCTTAATTAGTTTCTATTTTATTTATTCGCAAACTTTTAAACTATAATTCCAAAAAGATTCTATTACTACTAAAATATTGATGTGATGCATTGTCGACCTAACCAGGGATTATTTGACATGACCATATATAAAGAAACTATCTAGATAAAATAAGATTAGGTAGATGAGTGAAATACATCTAAGTCGCTTTTTTTTTCTTTAGTGTCCACCATTGTTTTATCCAACTTAATTAGTTGACTCCCTCTCACGTCATGCTCTACACCAATGGTGTCAAATAATCACTAGTTATTTCTTAAAATAGCATGATCTTATCATAATCAAAATTGAATAAGGAAAGTTTTAGGGCTCTCACTATAAAGTTGAAGTTGAAGGTACACTAAATTGAAAGACAAACACCTATTAACCTGTCCTTGAAATAGGAGTTAAATAAAACCAAGGATGGATATTAATTAGATGAAAGCAGAGGAAATTTAGAATGAGTGATTAGATTAGGTTTCGGAAGGTAAGAGAAAAGATAAGGAGAGTAGCGTACCGGTGGTGATGAGGGCGGATCTAATTGCTGCCGGAGACCAATTGGGGTGGAAAGACTTTACATAGGCGGCGGCTCCGGCGGCATGGGGGCAGGCCATGGAAGTGCCCGACATGAGCGTGAATTTGGAGAATTGGGTGTCCCCTTTCAGCCCCGTCAGCGACTTCAGTGGCGTGTAGGCCGCCAATATGTCTACTCCTGGCGCTGCAATGTCCGGCTGCATAAGCCCATAAGTAATAATAATATTCAATCCACACTCTTATCCCTATAGCATTGTATCATAAGAGTTTTATGATCGGTTTGGTACCTCAAAATTCGAGGGATTTGAAATAAATTTCTTTGTTTGGTAACTCAGGATTTTTTAATGATTTGAAATCTTTTACAGGATTTCAAATCTTATTTTTAAGTTAAAAAATTTTTGAAAATCAATGGGATCGCATGTTTGACACCATTTCATAGAATTTTAAAATAAATTATCTATTTAACTTCGTCATATTTTAATTTAGATTAAAACTCTAAATCAGTAAATTTTTTTTATGCTTCCTAGTGGACATCCAAAGAAATTTAATTTAATTTATTTCAAATGATTGTCGTTTGATAAAAAATTTAAAAATATTTTTTTGGATTTAAAATTATGGAAATGAAAATCATTTCGTTTAACTTGAGGGCAATTTTTTCTTTTTCACTCTTACCTTCAGAATGCGGTTGGAGCCTGGGTTTGGGCCTCTGGCCGAGAATGCAGCCACGAATGGAGCTCTTGCTTTCATTTCACTTGTTTTGTATATCACTGCCCTTGGTGTCCTGTTTTCAAACCAAACCAAAAACACTAAATCAAACCCATTAATAAGCACTCTATCTCTAACGTATAGCTTGAAGTTGATCTCAGCTTGATTCCTTTGATTTTAGGAGATATTTTCATTATAATTGTAGTTATAGTTATTCTTATGGTCTTTCCGTCAAAGTTTTCAAACTATATATACGTATCGTGACTGGATCTTAATAGCTTATTTAGATGACACATTTTGTTTGAACATAGCAAAGATAGAAGATGAGCTAGCGTTGGTGTCGGGATTATGGAGCCAAAATAGGAAACCTATATCCTATTAAGAAAATGATTTTTCAACACTATTACCAATTTCTACTGGGAGTAGGATATTATTGACTTATAAGGATTACAATATTGTTTTCCTATAAGAATTAGGATATTTGGTATCTTATAAATAGAGTCTTTATGTTAAGGTTTCATTTGTACAGAATCCAAATAGAAGGGACTTGAGTGGTTGTGGGCAGTGTTGAAAAGGATTCTGTATCCAGTGGGTTTAGTGAGTGTTTTTCATTCTTGTACCTAAGTATAGTGTGTTATAATACTTAGAAGCTGGAGGGCTTTTGTTGGGACCTCTAGGGGATATTTTTGGGGAGAGTTTTGTATTCTAATCCTTAAACAATTATTAGTGAATTACCCACATCTGAGTGGAAGACTGGACGTAGCCCTTAGTGGTGAACCAGTATAATTTGCTGTGTCGTTATTCTTGTGCTTTTACAGTTTTCTTCCTATTTTCATATATTTTTGTTGTGTTTGGATATTTC